ATATATTTTTGTTGCTACGTCATAAACTTTTAAGTTTAAAAAATGTTAATTCAACTTGAAATGTATTAGTTTTCTGAATGGTGATGACACCATTGATCACAACATCCTCATTTCCAGGCTGGAGAAGGAGCTGGGTATCACAGGTTCAGCCCTCAGTTGGGTCAAGCCTGACAGGTAAACACTTCTGTGTTAACATCAAGGACTTCTTGTCCTCATCAGCACCACTTCAATTGGGAGTACCACAGGGCTCTATCCTGGGACACCTTCTTTTTTCCCTAGGTGCAATCTTTTGTAAACATGGCATACCATTTCATCTTTATGCGGACGACTGTCAAATTTACTTTCCTCTGAAACAGGCTGGCCCACACTGCATCCAACCTCTTCTTGACTGCCTGGCTGACATCAGGGATTGGATGGCTTTAAACTTCTTAAACTTTAATGAGAAGAAAACAGAAGTCATTCTGTTTCTATCTAACAACGCAAACAATTACACTTGCATTAACCTTTCCACTCTGGCCCCATTTGAAAAACAACTAGTCACCAGCCTACGTGTAAAAATGGATCCGTACTTGAAAGTAAACAGTCATGTAAACTCCATTRTTAAATCCTGCTTTTTTTCAGCTGAGGAGACTGTCCAAGTTAAAATTCATCCTGTCAAAAAGAAATCTGGAGTCAGTAATTAATGTGTTCATTACATCCAGGTTGGATAACTGTAATGCCCTCCTGTATCAGCCAGTCCTCCATTGCTCATTTATAAGTGGTTCAGAATGCAGCAGCCCGATTTCTAACTGGCACAAATAAAAGAGAACACTCCTGTTCTAGCATCTATTGGCTTCTGGTTCATTTCAGAATTCACTTTAAGACCCTTAAATGCCTAAACAACTCCGCCCCCTCTTACCTCTCAGATCTAATGCATCCACTTGTCCTACAGTGCTTTCTTAGATCATCTGGTCAGCTGCTTCTGAAGGTTCCTAACTTTCATCTGAAACTGAGAGGTGACAGATCCTTTTCTGTATCAGGTCCAAAACTGTGGAATGATCTACCACTACATGTCAGACAGTCTCCTTCCCTCGCTGTCTTCAAGTCTCACTTAAAAACACACTACTACTCCCTTGCCTTAGAGTCTGAGTGAGATGGTGCAAAACCTCACCGTTTATTATAACTCTGTTCTGTGTGTACTGTAATATAAATGCTCCATATTTTTATCTGTATTTTGAATGTAATTTTAACTATGTCCTGTTGTGTCTGCCTACTGTACTGCACTTTGGTTTGTCTTTTGCTGTTTAAAATGCTTTATAAATAAAAGTGGTATGGTATGGTATAGTATGGTATGGTATGGTGTGGTGTGGTGTGGTGTGGTGTGGTGTGGTGTGGTGTGGTGTGGTGTGGTGTGGTGTGGTGTGGTGTGGTGTGGTGTGGAATGGTATGGTATGGTAT